AAGCCTTGGACATTTTCGCTAAGGAAAAAGTTGTTCCAAATCACCCTTCGAACCACTCCTTTCAAGGTGTTACAACATTTTTCGGACTCCCTGTATATCTATAGAAACCCTGCACTTCAGTTTTATGAATTGTTCTAATAGATACTATGCGCATATTTTTCTACAATAAACGTTACATTTAGTGTGGATAATGAGTGCATATACTCTTTTTACGGACACAGCCCGCCAATGTAACCTATAACATGGCATTCATGATGTATTTGACGCATGCGCAGAGAGGACAAATATCTTTCTATAGCTTTCTCTCTCACACAGACTTTGGACACACTTTCGATGCTGACAATCCTCCTCCATGTCTATATACTTAAAGGTTACGACTAACATGGGCTCCATCATGTATAATATATATATATTCATATTCTTTCTTATTAGATATACTTATTCCAACTTACGTTGTCTTATAATCCTGTCATACAGAAAGCATTTTTATTTTTCGCCAACCGCTTGCGTTGACTCTTATCCATATAAAATGACAAGCATACATCCAGATTCACTTTTGTCCAAGCCTCAATTAATTTCAATAAATCGACTTCACTTGTTAACACGTTGGATGCCAAACTACTCGTGAAAATATAAATTTTCATATAAATGGGCCTATCACTTTGTTCCTACACAACTGAAACTTATTTTTGTTGAATTGAAACTAGTACTTTCCTTTGCAATTTCGCCAAATTTGTGAATTCTATGCAGGTTTATTTTCTTTAACATTTCATCTTCAAAATTAGTTGATTTAAGTTTTTAGTGAAAAGTCCTGCCACCCGTAAATGGGTGACGTGGGAGTCAACGTGTTAAGGCAAACCTAGTGTTAAATTCATAATTTCGACAACTTCGTAAAAGTTCCCAGCTTTGGTATTTTTTATCGAGTTTAATATCTTTTTATTCGACACCGTTTCTCTCCAGCTTGTGCTTCTATCAGCAGTATTTCGCCGGGTTCAGAATGTGCGCGCTTTCGTGTGGGAACTTGTAATCCAGAAAAATGGAGCAAGAAGGAGCACCAGTGTTGCTGGCGACTATATTTCAGGGAACTATGATAGTTAGTGAAAAAAAGTAAGAAACTTCAAATTTTCTTAATGCTATCCGAGATTAAATTTTTTGTTATTGTTTTTTGTTATTTAACTCTCCGGTACTTCGACCAGAAATCAACATAGAAGTAACATGATAAAAGTGGGAAAGTGGAACAAATTTAGACACTTTTTGGAATTAATATATTTAATAATTGATTAGTATATTAAGACATCATTAATGCCACGCACATTCTTTTTTAACTTGATTCACTCTAATCTCTTTCCCTTACACACTACCAACCTAACTCCCTCTCCACGCATACCAATCTTACTTCCTCTTCACGCATACCAACCTTCCTTGCTCTACCTCATTCCTAAACCAACTCTCACAGTAAATAACTTAGATAAATAAATTATTTTGTTATATGTTGGAATATTGTGACTGATTCTCACAATTATAGAATTACCGAAAAGAATACCAATTTGTCAGTTTTTGAACTTACATTTTACGATAGAAGACGGAGTAGAGTAGAAAATTCTTTGTTTTGCAATACACCGACTTAAAAGCAGGGCCGTATTAACAAAATTATGGGCCCTTTATTACATGTATTTTGTTTAGATATTGCAAATTAATAAAGAAAAAAGAGAAATCCAAGGGGCGCTACAGATAATTTTACCGAAAGGACGCCGAAGCTTACATTCGTGTGTATCTGTGCCACATATGTCAGTTTGGAAGGTTACTACCCAGTGTTGCCAACTTGGGGGTTTTGCCTCCAATTTAAAGGGGAAACGTATGAACGGGGATTTTTTTAGGGGCTTAAATTTTTTAGGGGGATTTTTGGGAGACATATTTTTTAGAATTTTTTAAGGGTTTTTTTAAATGTCAGCGCCATTCTTTAAGGTATTTGTTCCCCGTTAATATTTTGAATTAATTGACCATCTAGTTTAGGAGATATATGACACATGTAAATATTGTTATATTTTTACACATAGTGATACTTATTTATATTCAACTAAATTTTAAATAAAATATCTTTATTTGTGAAAAACTGTAATAAATAAATAAATAAAATATTTTAGGGGAAAACAAAAATTTAGGGATTTTTAAGCCAAATTTAGGGGTTTTTTAACTTGCGTCAGAGGCAATTGTTCTCTACTGGTTGGCAAAACTTTATAAGCAATAAAAATATGTTTGCTATTTTCATTTTATTGCTTATAAAGTTTTAAGGCCAAAATTGCAAAATCAGGCCTTGGAGTCGCATCCGCCAAAGTGTAACGAATATATTAAAACCAAAATTATTAGAAAATATTGCTTCTTTGCTTCAATATCCTTAACAAGAATCATGCTAGCCTAATCGCCCTGTCCTCGTCTCTCCTCCAATTGTTGTATCGCCCTCTCTGTCCTTATCTCGGAGTTTCCTACTTTTTCCGCAACTGTCGCTGAAGTCAACTCGGAGTTTGGCTCTGGGTCCTGCGCACCCTTAAGGAAGGAGGAAAATTGGAAAAAATGGTGCTACTTCCTTATTGCAGCACACTCCTCAATGTATAAAAGGACTCTACTTATTGAAAATACTGTGATAGGTAGGAACTTAGTTAACCTATCGTCGTCAAGAATTTTTGGTCTTTTCAGGTTGGAAAAATTCGACACATTCGTAACAAACTCGTAACTTGAGGTCCCGGCGTGCAACGTAAGCATGCATTACTTTAGAGCCACGACATCCCTGTCCGTCGTAGGGATCAGATACCTGTGCCAATAAAGAAGTAACTGCTGTTTCGGTTTTCGACCTCACAAGATCCCCACCAGCGACTATATTCTAGGGTTCATTAGTAACTTATTATCCCCAATTATACTAAAATACGACGCTTTTCGAACACACTATTTCGCAGACTGTGCTTTAATGTATGCATTATAAAAATAGCTTTGTACAAACTACTAAGGAAAAACTGTCACTTATAAATTGAAACAAAAGCGTTCGATAAGAAAACAACATCACAAGCAGACGAGAATATCTCCGTTACAGTTTAAGATACTACATTTGACCGAGTTTACTATTGTTGAACGTCTAAGGGTGGTTTAACAGCTTCACATGGGAGTCTGTAATGCTCCTGGTCCCACGCCATACCCATATCCTTGTGGTCCAAAATTTCGAACATAACATTCTAAATAGCCAAAAAATAAAAAAACAGATGGAATCTGTATCCTCAAAACTGTCTTAATCAACGATAATCGTCAATACGTAATACACAGAGATTTTCAAAAGGAAAGAGGATTATTTGCAAATTGTATACACACTAACGTTTACAGTAAATTTCTCCACAATTTTCTTGATACGTTAATGGCTCCAAGGGTTTCCTACAGCAGTAGCAGCTGAAGCATATATTGTGAAACGGTATGCCGGACACGATCTTATGGGAATAGAAACCAACGTAAGCGATAAAGAATAATAGTTAACAAGATTTAATTGCAAAGAGACTTACAAAAAGAAAACTACAGTAGGACTTGGATTAACCGACGCGATACGGACCACAGTAGGTTAGACAAATCCCTACCGAATAATCAAGATCTGAGGAGAAATTAATAAGTCCTTATTTTTTGTACAAAATAAACTCATCTGTCAATATGTGATTAACTCTGACTACTCTCGATAATTAAAAATTAAAAATAACGGCGAATCACAGATAAACTCGTAAGGAAAATTTTATCGATTATCGATAATTGCAGAATCACTACGTTTACCACATGTAGATAAAGTAGGTACTCTTAGTACACCGGATAATCGAACCCAAGTTAATCCAAGTCCTACTGTTAATTGGCATATAATTGGCATATATAATCTTTGCATACCTGACATGCATAAATATTCACGGTCTACTCATAAATCTCCTTTTTATTAACCTGGCTTTCGAAGTGTGATTTGATGGAAAAGTATGATAACTCGGATTACTTGAGATTACCTGCATTTCAGCTTGATACACTTTTCGTCCGCAGCGCTGGCAATCAAGACCTCCACCGAGGCACTCACATCCAACTTTCGGTCTGCAACACCCTTCATCGATAGTTTCCGCTCTGTCGGCGCTGCACCTTCTAACTCGATTCACGCGGCACACAGGACTCTTCGAACTAACCGCACAAATGATTATCACCGTTTAGGTTTAGGATCGATGTCCAAACTCGGAAAATATTTACAGTGAGTGTAGAAAGTATTCGTACCCTGATCAATTTCCAAGAAAACTATGTAAAATTGTAACTTATTAACTTTTTCTTTATTAACAATGATATTCTACATATTCTTGGAAATCTCTACGAAAAGATTATTTTGTATAAGTGAGAAATCAACAAGAAAACACAATAAATCGATAAAAATACAGAAGCAATAAGTATTCGTATAAGTGTTAAATTTTTAAAATTTCATTTTAAAAGAAAACGAAATTTACCTTAAACATTTCCTTTTGATTTTATAATTACTGCAACCTTCTAGGTATTAAATTAAATATCATGAATGTCGATGTTATTTGGGGTAGGACCTTCTTTCATTCTTTTATTAGAGCATTTTTTAAGTTATTTTTCCTAGAAATTTAATGTTTTCTAATTCCCACGAAGCAATAAACTGATGTGCTTATGTTACAATTTCTTGTTAATTTCGCAAATTACATAAACTAGTAATTATTGTTCGAACTATATTCTAGAGATTTCCGAAAATATGTAGAATATCATTGATTATAAAAAAAAGAAGTTAATAAACTACAATTTCACACAAAAGTTTTTTGGGAAATTGATCGATGTACGAATACATTCTACACCCACTGTATACACATAATATATATAATATTTATATATGGGACATTGCATGGCAAATCGATCACTTTTGAACACGACCATTTTTAATGTGGCTGAAAGGGTATAGCCGGATAAGGGGGTCAAAAGTGCCCTTGAGCCAAATTGATCAATGAACATATCAATTAATCGAGTGTTAAAGAAAGCATTTATGCCAAGTTTCAACCCCGTATCCTTACTGGAAGGGTAATTAGAGGGCAAAATGCAATTTACAGTTTAAGTTGTATATCTTTTGTTCCGCTGTATCAAAAATTTTGAAAAAAATTACAGGTATTCTACTTTATGGTGTGCATGTTTGTGAACTTTTTCAGAATTTTTCACTGCAAAATGGATTTTTTAAAAAATCGTGATATTTAAAAATAATTTTTTTTAATAGAAATTATAAAATGACCACGAATATATTTGTACATTGTTAGTCTTTTGTCATGATTATCAATCTATAATTTTTTCAGATTTTTGGAAGAGGTGGAACGATGTTGGAATAATCAAAAACCGATATTTGTTTATATTATTATCTTAATTTTTGATGTGACCATGATGATATTGTGACAGTTTTAATACCTTATTATCGTTATCAATATATAATTTTTTCAGATATTTTGTAGAGGTGTATCACATACAAAGAAATTATAATTCGATATTTCCTTTCGTGCGTAGAACAGTAATATATTCAGGTTTTTGATATTTTTACTGCATTGAATGGTTACTATATACATGTTCAAAATAGTATGTATCAAATAATATAAAACTTAAAATATTAGAAAAAATGTCGAAAAAGACCAATGAATACTTAATTTTTAGATGAGTCATTGTTGTGAATTTAGATATGCCAGGCTTATTCTATGGACTTGTTTTCTTTGCTATTGAGATTTTCAGTGGGTATTTTGTTATTTCGTTTATTTACGTTTATATTCAGGAGAACTTTTAGTTCTCATCGATTAACAGGAAATTCTGAGTTTCTTTTGCTTGTGAATAGCAATTGACGTATCATAAACCGATGGAGTTGGGTTTTCCTTGGGAAGGCTGGGAACGTAAGGTTGGGAAGTAAGGCTATTTTGAAGAGTCGTGCTGATATGGCCGGAACTGTTTATTTTATTGTATAAATAAAGAAAAGTGAACATTGTTCAAATGGATACGGGAGAAAAGTCAAAACTTACATACGGAATTTGATCGTAATTCTTAAAATCTTAACTTGTCCAATACATGTACAACTACTTTTAATATGCATACGACGACCATACGATGGAATAATATCAACTACCTGAATATATTACTCCTCTGCGCACGAAAAGTTAGAAAATATCGATTCAGAATTTTTTTGCATGTGATTCACCTCTCCAAAAAATCTGAAAAAAATTATATATATTGATATTATAGTATATTGATAACGATAATAAGTTATTAAAACTGTCACAATATGAACATGGTTACATGAAAAATTAAAATAATAATATTAACAAATGTCGGTTTTTGATTTCTCCCCAACATCGTTCCACCACATCCAAAAATCTGACAAAATTATAGATTAATAATCATAACAAAACTCTAACAGTGTAAACATATAAACGTGGCCATTTTATAATTTCTATTCAAAAAAATTTTTTTTAAATATCACGTTTTTTTTAAAAATCCATTTTGCAGTAAAAATTTTAAAAAATTCAAGAACACTTACGTCATAAAATAGGATATCTGTAATTTCTTTCCAAATTTTTGATACAGTACAACAAAAGATATACAGATTAAACTGTAAATTGCATTTTGCCTTGTAACTACCCTTCCAGTAAGGGTGTGGGGTTGAAATTTGGCACAAATGATTTTTTTTAACACTCTATTAATTGATATGTTCATTGATCAATTTGACTCAAGGGCACTTTTGACTCCCTTATCCGCCTATACCCTTTGTATATGTTACAGCACCCCACTAAACATCTTTTTGTGATTTTCTCAGATTTTTTTAATCAACCAAAAAAGAGTTACGAGTTTAAAAAAAAAATCAGCGTTTTTCTAAATGGCTATAACTCTTCCAAAAATTGACCAAATAAGATGTGCTTTTTTTCAAAATGTGCGTTTTTGAATGATCTTTACGATAAAATTACAAACAAAATATTTGAATTCATCTTTTATAACATTTGCGACGAATATCCCCCAAATACCGCGACCCGGCCATCCGCGGCATACTCGCGCAAGCGCAATCGCGAACGAAGCGACGCGCGCATCCACGGCGGCGCTAGCGTCGCCGCGAGAGACGGGTATATTAGGCCGCACGCGGGAAGCTGGAAGACAGTCCGTTCGGTGCTCCGACTTGAGAAGTCACCTGCTGACTAGGTGCCTCCAGTTAATAGGTGATATCCCGAGTACGACGCAACGAGTTGACTCTCGCTATAGCCCTGGTGCCCCAGGATACAGGGAGCTCCCGACCCCGAGGATCGACTATTAGCGCCCCGTAGTCGAAACGAAGAGTAGTTCCCAGTTTCTCCACGGTAGGCGCTCCGCCGTGAAAGAGACGGGATATCCCGCGCCGCGACCGCGACGACACCGTAGTATCAGGCAGTGGTTGCCAGATACCTGGCGCTCCAGGATTCGCCAACCTGCCCTCTTCACGGTAAGCGCACCACCGCGAAGAGAGCCGGCCGACCCCGTCCGCACACACCTACCCCGTGCGAGCCATACGACCGACCAGGCACTAGGCGCTCCGGTGCCTAGCCGTTCAAACGGCAATTGTACCCCTAACGGTAGGCGCTCCACCGTTAAGGGGACAATCGGTAATTGTAAATCGGGTAGCACCTGCACCAACACATACCCCCCGACACACCGCCGTAAACTTACATATAGGGTGCTCTGATTGTTATGTTTCAGGCTAACACTAAGGACCCGATCCCGTAGACCGAATGTCCGGTCATATTGTATATATAACTGTTCATTACTACTTTTCTCATTCATTAAACCATAATCTTAAGTTTTGTAAACGGCCTGATTTATTCAAACGACCCGTACCCTGACTTTCCATCTACAGCAAAATCCCTCGGTTACACATTTTTTGAATACAATGGTCTTCTTTACCTCTCTTAAGCTGGCAGGACCAAATCAGCAGAATCATATCGGACTTAGTGAAATATTTAGTACTTATTTTGTATTAATTTTTGCCACCAACAATAATTTTGTACCTCGTGCCGTTTTCGAAAAAATCGTGGCGCTGCTAGCTTAATATTAATATTACAATTTTCTTGAATATGGTAGCAGGCACAAAATTTATTTTGGTGGTACAAATTAGTATAAATTCAGTACTAAATATATCCGCTTTGATTTTTTCATTTATATTAATTTTAAACATTTTCAGCCTCTAGCTTAACGTTAAACTAGCAGCCCCACGAGTTTGTTGAAAACGGTAACAGGTACAAAATTTCTTTTGGTGGTACAAATTAGTACAGCACTAAATGTATCCACTTTAATTTTTTCATTTTTATTAATTTTGACGTGTGGTCCTGCTAGCTTAATATTAAGCTAGCAGCGCCACGATTTTTCGAAAACGGTACGAGGAACAAAATTATTGTTGGTGGTACAAATTAGTACAAAATAAGTACTAAATATTCCACTAAGTCCGATATGATTCTGCTGATTTGGTCCTGCCATCTTAAGAGAGTTGTTTTCTTTTTCTTTTTAGCTGTGGTACGGCCGGAGGTCTGGCTCCCCTACTCTATCAATAAAATCTCCATGTTCCGAATTCAATTGATTCAAAAGCCCCTGACAACAAGCAACCCGATGCTCACGCAGGAAAGCGTGTGTTACTCAAAACTTGCCATAACTACATCATGAAAACTAAGCGTGAGTGATAATTATTTTTCATGTCGAACATTCAGAAAACATTATATTTGACGTCAGCAACAAAATCGAGATTTCCTTACCGACAGTAGCACACGCTACCGCCACTTGGACAACAAGTTCCACATTTTCTGCTGCAACAGCAAGATGGTTGCGGGGGACATGGTCGCGGTGGAGAACAAGGCGAACAAGGTCTGCAAGGTGGAACCGCGCAAGGTCTCGACGGCATACACGTTTGTCCAGGCTTTCCACAACCACCGCGACATCCGCTTCCGCAACATCCACTACCGGCGCAGGTCTGGGGCTCTTTCGTGCACGACGGACGACATCTGATGATCGTTTTCTTGCAAATCGGCCGTTCGTTCGCCAGAGAGCAGCAAGCCCGTCTATCGCTGCACGGCGATGAACAGGTTGAACAGGATGGAATAACGCGACAAGGTTCCGGTTCTCCTAGAGAACAAAAGTCTCATTTTCGTTTATATTAAAATTTCTTCTTGGAAAATCGACTCTGATCAATTTACAGTTGCGAAATTCTTACTTTTCATGCAGTGGACGCAAGGACTTTCTACCACTTTAACTACTCCACAAGCGACTTTAGGACGAGGTGCGCATGGTCCACACACACCTCCGCATCCCCCCCTCAAACGTTCGTTATCGTCAAGCACGTTCGACGAATTCGAACAATTTTGATGATCGCAAGCCATGACGTCCTCCCTCGACGACGCATCGTCTTTCTCGTTCATTATTCTGTACCCACGTGGCTCCGAGTTGTCTTGTTCACAGTTCTTCTCGGTGTCATTGCATTTGTTCGACGTCTCTTCGCCGTCGTCGTAACACTCCGAAGCACATTTCTCAAAATGCATCCTGCTGGTGTCCTCCGTTTGTCTCAAATCGACATTTTCGTATCCGCCGTCGTGTTTACCAGCCGGTTCGTCCGCTTGCCAAATGTCGTACGAATCCTTGAATTCCTCGTTACCGTCGTTATTGCAGCAAGGCCTACGACGAACATCCTGCATTTTCGTGATACAATTCTGCTCGTTTTCGCGCGTATCCCCGAAGACGACGTCGCAGAACGAGACTCGTCGTCGGGAAGGCAACGGACTTCGAGGCGGCGGTACCGGCGGATACGTAAACTTTCGTCTTGGTGGAATTTCGTATTTTTTAATTTTATTAGTCCAATCGGTAGTCGTCGCTCGAGTTTTGTCTGCGCTGGAAATATCTACGCTAAGAAAACTTTATATCGTTGTACCGTAGCCGTGCTGGCAAGGGCATAGCCGTATAAGGGGGTCAAAAGTACCCTTGAGCCAAATTGATCAATGAACATATCACTTAATAGAGTGTTAAGAAAAACCATTTGTGCCAAGTTTCAACCCCGTGACCTTACTGGAAGGGTAGTTACAGGGCAAAATGCAATTTACAGTTTAAGCTGTATATCTTTTGTTGTACTGTATCAAAAATTTTGAAAAAAATTACAGATATTCTACTTTATGACGTACGTGTTTGTGAATTGTTTTAGAATTTTTCACTGCAAAATGGATTTTTAAAAATAATTTTGTTTAATAGTAATAAAATGACCACGTTTATATTTTTACACTGTTAGTGTTTTGTTATGATTACACTAGTTTACAGCCAAAATGTACATTCAATGCCACAATTTTTTTCTTATGTATTTTGGCCTACTAAACTCGAAAATCACAAGAAAAAGTTTTTCTATGGATAGGTTTTTTTTATATGAATTTTTGCATTTTTTTCGATTCTTTTCTGACATACCTTCACATTCTAGACCATATCTCGAGTTAGAAACGTCCGATTTAGTCGCGCAAGACGCCATTTGAAAGGTAATCGAATTTTCAACAATTGTTTTTTAGGTAAACCTTACATTTAGGGGAGGCAGCTACGATGACCCTGACCTTGACATATGTTGTCAAGGGCACTCTCCTGAGTAACACCCAAGAGGTTTTAGCCATCGGACGTTTTTTATTAAAAAGCTATTAGCATATAAAAATCATACATTTACATATTCGAACACGCTATCTATAGCATATAAAAACACACTGCAACGGTTCAAACTTGTTAAGAGACCTTGTATCACGCACGATCTTTACTCATACAGTGAAAATACGGGGGTCCGGGTGCCTGCCCCCGGTCCGGGGTTTGGGGGCGGAGACTACATTTGGTTTCTCATCAGAGAAACGAACCCAACGAATGACAGAAGACAAAGCAAAGGCTGAAATTATTTCATACAAAATTAATTAAAAAATACAGAAACAGAGTAAAATTGGGATTTTTGTACCTTTACTCAATTGTTCCTAACTCCGGTATTTATCCATAGATTTTTTTCAATAACAGCTGGTTTTCTTCGTAAAAGTGTGATCTATACATAAACTATAAGAAACTGGACATAATTTGAAAATTTCTATTTTTCCATGGCGATGGAAGAAATATTCATGTTCTATTTTAGCAGAAAAAATCAAAGTTTCTCATATATATTGGCTCAATTGGAAAATAATGTTGAAAGCAATTGTTGGAAATTTGATTACCTTTCAAATGGCGTCTTGCGCGACTCAATCGGACGTTTCTAACCCGAGATATGGCCTAAAATGTGAACGTATGTCTGAAAAAAATCGAAAAAAATGCAAAAATTCATATAAAAAAACCTATCCATAGAAAAATTTTTTCTTGCGATTTTCGAGTTTAGTAGGCCAAAATACAGGAGAAAAAATTGTGACATTGAATGTACATTTTCTTTTTATTTTGTAAACTAGTGTTATAAAATGGCCACGTTTATATGTTTACACTGTTAGAGTTTTGTTATGATTATTAATCTATAATTTTGTCAGATTTTTGGATGTGGTGGAACGATGTTGGGGAGAAATCAAAAACCGACATTTGTTAATATTATTATTTTAATTTTTCATGTAACCATGTTCATATTGTGACAGTTTTAATAGCTTATTATCGTTATCAATATACTATAATATCAATATATATAATTTTTTTCAGATTTTTTGGAGAGGTGAATCACATGCAAAAAAATTCTGAATCGATATTTTCTAACTTTTCGTGCGCAGAGGAGTAATATATTCAGGTAGTTGATATTATTCCATTGTATGGTCGTTGTATGCATATTAAAAGTAGTTTTACATGTATTGGACAAGTTAAGATTTTAAGAATTACGATCAAATTCCGTATGTAAGTTTTGACTTTTCTCCCGTATCCATTTGAACAATGTTCACTTTTCTTTATTTATACAATAAAATAAACAGTTCCGGCCATATCAGCACGACTCTTCAAAATAGCCTTACTTCCCAAGGAAAACCCAACTCCATCGGTTTATGATACGTCAATTGCTATTACGTCAAAAGCAATTGCTATACGTCAAAAGCAAAAGAAACTCAGAATTTCCTGTTAATCGATGAGAACTAAAAGTTCTCCTGAATATAAACGTAAATAAACGAAATAACAAAATACCCACTGAAAATCTCAATAGCAAAGAAAACAAGTCCATAGAATAAGCCTGGCATATCTAAATTCACAACAATGACTCATCTAAAAATTAAGTATTCATTGGTCTTTTTCGACATTTTTTCTAATATTTTAAGTTTTATATTATTTGATACATATTGATACATACTATTTTGAACATGTATATAATAACCATTCAATGCAGTAAAAATATCAAAAACCCGAATATATTACTGTTCTACGCACGAAAGGAAATATCGAATTATAATTTCTTTGTATGTGATACACCTCTACAAAATATCTGAAAAAATCATACAGTGGATGTAGCAAGTATTTGTACAGCGATCAATTTCTAAAAAAACTGTATAAAATTGTAATTTATTAGCTTATTTTTTATAAACAATGACATTCTACATGTTCTAGGAAATCTCTAGAATAGATTACAAAAAAAAATAGCTATTTATGTAAGTTGCGAAATTAACAAGGAAAAAACAATTAATCGTTAGAAGTGTTAAAGCAATAAATATTCGCACAACTGTTTAAAAGTACTTTCCTGGAAATTTGATGTTTTCTAATTCTCACGGAGCAATAAACTAATGTGTTTACGTTACAAACTCTGCTGTAAATGGTTCGGCATAAGAATCGTACAAATACTTATTGCTTCTATACTTTTACCCACTTTTCGCATTTTTTTGTTAATTTCACAAATTATATTAACTAGTAAATGTTGTTTGAACTATATCTATCTTAGAGACTTCCGAGAATATGTAAAATATCATTGATTATAAAAAAAGAAGTTAAGAAACTACAATTTCGCACAAAAGTTTTTTTGTAAATTGATGGGTGTACGAATACATTCTACACCCACTGTATATTGATAACGATAATAAGCTATTAAAACTGTCACAATATGAACATGGTTACATGAAAAATTAAAATAATAATATTAACAAATGTCGGTTTTTGATTTCTCCCCAACATCGTTCCACCACTTCCAAAAATTTGAAAAAATTATAGATTAATAACCATAACAAAACACTAACAGTGTAAAAATATAAATGTGGTCATTTCATCATTTCTATCAAGAAGAATTATTTTTAAACTTTTCGAATTTTTTAAAAATCTATTTTGCAGTGAAAAATTCTGAAAAAGTTCACAAACATGTACACCATAAAGTAGAATACCTATAATTTTTTTCAAAATTTTTGATACAGCGGAACAAAAGATGTACAACTTAAACTGTAAATTGCATTTTGCGCTGTAACTACCCTTCCAGTAAGAGTACGGGGTTGAAACTTAGCACAAATCGTTTTTTTTAACACTGTATTAAGTGATATGTTCATTGATCAATTTGGCTCAAGGGCACTTTTGACCCCCTTATACGGCTATACCCTTTAGTACGAAGTAAACGGTAAAAGAAAAGTTTGATTTTACAATATCCGATGTAACCTATGTTACCGACCTCTTACTTATCGAAACTGAATAAGGATAATAGTCTGTTATATCCAATAATTTAGCAATTTCTTAGCAAATCGAGGCATAAAGAATTGGCGAAACATTTCGTACCTTAGCGAAGGGTCTGTGACGTCGATTTCATTATTGCTAAGCGAAGACTTCAACTCGGACAGGTCGCTTTCTTGTTGCCGTACTTCGTATGGACAGTCTTTCGCGATAACGGTATTCTTCTGCGGCTCCAGTGGTAGTGTACTATTAAAACGAAAGTTTTGTTAACAAATGGAGTTTTAGAACAAGTAGGAATGTATCGATGATGGATTTGAACCTGCGAAACTTTGAATGCTGTCGATTGTACCATGTGGTCACTGCAGTAGGGCTGGGTGGAGGATCACAAACTGTTGTCATCAAATTGGCAATACCTAGATTTGCACATTCGTTTTCTAAGAAATACCTTTTCTCTTCGTCTAAAGAAACGTTTGTCTCTTCAACTTCACTACCTCCGCCACGAAGTCTACACGCGTCGAATTTGCAATGTTGTTTTCTACTTAACGACACGTTATCGATAGAACTTTGACCGCTACACCGGTAACAGTTCAACGAGTCCTGAGCTGAAAGCTTTACGGTTGCAGGCGAGTTAGGTATTCCTTTGATTTCATGATTTACGGTTGATAGATGAACGTAGCAACTCTTGCAAAATAATTCACCGAGATGAGTCACCACGCTGCAACTATTCAGCAATTTTCGACAGTTACCTACGGAGCATTACAAATTTCTCTATTACTATCTTACTCGATCGATACACAAAAATTCGTAAGATGTTCAAAGAAAATAAAATTAATATATATTAAATTTGTTAAACGAAATTTTGCGATACTAACGACAGGAAAAGCAAAACGTATGCCAGACTTTTCCTAGAGCCAATTTTTCTTCTGCGAAGTAAACCTCGCGATTACAGCGTGGACAAACTCCAGGCATTTATCGATCGGCCCTATTTACTTCTTAAAATATTTCATAATACATGTCACAGATGCTCCAATTCGTATTAGTAAGTGCTATTTATAGTAAATGTTCTTTGTAAATGAGATTTTTTTCCGTCACTCGCTTTAAACGCGTTTTGGCATTCGTGAACATCCACAGTATAATTATCCAACAAACGGTAAATTTCGCACATCGTCAAACTTTCTAATACTCGATCGTATTGATAATTTTACTTAAAGGAAGACATTCGTTGATGCCTTTAACAATTTATACCAATTCGCCAAAAAGGGTTGAAAACGTTGAACGTCAATTACTGATCGACCTAAAATAAAATAAAACACGATTACTTACGCATGCGAGACGATAATATCGAGATTTCGACTGCAAGCAACATCAGTATTCAGCAATTCAAGTTTTTTCAAGGTGAACCGACAGCTCCTTTCAAATGCATATCAGCTTGTTGAAACACATTGGCCATTTTAACACTTTATCGACCGGTAGTCGATTAATCGACTTTTTGTCCCCAACGCTCACTGACCGGTAACTGCTACGGTAACTAGCAAGTATTTGTTATTTTGAATTGAGATACAAGTTGCTTTGCTCTGTAAGCTCTCGTATCTAGAGACGCGGTAGCATCTCGACGTCAAGTACATGAAAAATTACCTGTCACCGCGTATATACTGGCGTTGGAGCTACCACGTATCTTTTACAGGAGAGATGGACCATTCCAACCTAACCTGACATTTCTTTCATGAATATCTCAACACGCCTGCAATATTTTCTAAATTTAAAGGCATTTTTCTCATGTAAATCGCACATAAGCTTTCGAATAAAACCAAAATCAATAAAATCGGTCCACGAACGACAGAGATATTATAATATCATATCATGAATGTGTCAAAAACTGCAACATTTTTCTTTTCCTTTGACAAGGAATTTTTCGTCAACACTTAGCCAATAGAAGCTAAGGCCGTTCGTCGATTCGTCGACTCTCGGTATCAGTCGGCAAGGCTCGTCGGTCGGAATTGTAATATGGCTGTTACTCATGCCGCTCGTTCATTTTTAACCTGTAACTGTCAGTTTGAATTTGTGAAATTTGGTTTCTTGCAACAAGACTTTCTGACATGCATTGTGCGTACTCTTGAAAACTCAAAGGACTGAAACTGGAATTATAACACAATAAAGTGTGCGTTACTAATAGTGGATCTCTTTGTACATTTTCCCACTTTATTTATTAACATTTAAATTTGTTACAACAAGATTTTCTGCCACGCGTTGTGCATACTTGTGAATTTTACTCTAATACAATAAATTGTGCATTACACATAGTGGATCCCTTTCTTTATTTCTCATTTCATGTTTAACATTTCAATTTCTAGCAACAAGACATTTTGCGATGCGTTGTATGTACTTTAGAAACATAAAAGACTGTAACTGGTATTATAATATAATAAATTGTAGGTTAGAAATAGTGTAGAACTCTTTTTTCATTTCATACTTCATTTTTAACATGTAAGTTTGTTACAATAAGACTTTCTGCATTGCGTTCTATGTGCTTTTGAAAACTTAAGGGACTGAATCTGATATTGTAATATAGTAAATTGTGCATTACTCGTATGACATTAATTTTATTTGTAAATAACACATACAAACCTTATTTTACTTGCAAATTAATGTAGAACTTAAAATAAAAATACATTTGTCTTCTATTATAGTAAGCTTAGAGTCTACAATATACATAATGTGTCTGAAGCCAGATATAGGAAAGAGATCAGCTACAGTCCTTTCAGTTTCCAAAAGTATACAGAACGCATGGCAGTAAGTTTCAATGCAAGAAATTTATTAAAGAAAAAATGTAATCACTTTATCAGTAACATTTAAATTTCCTGCAACAAGACTTTCTGTCATGTGTCATGCGTACTTTTGAGAACTTAAAGGACTAAGTCTGACCTCTCTTTTTATATATTATTGTAATACAATAAATTATCTATTACAAATAGTGGATCTCTGTTCCTTTTCTCATTTTCTCATTATTTAAATTTGTTACAAGACTTTCTGCCATGCGTTCTGTGAACATATGAACTGTATTTTAATACAATAAATTGTGCGTTAGAAATAGTTGATCTCTGTATTCATATCTCATTTCTTCTTTAATAAATTTCTTGCAGTGAGACATCCTGTCATGCGTTCTCTATACTTTTGAAACCTTAAAGTATTCAAACTGATCTCCCATTTTCTATTATTTGAAGTCATTCACTATACAAATTATCTTTGTAAAAAGAAGTGAGATCCCCATAAAAAACTTCGAAAAAGTAAAAAAATTACGCCAAGTACATGAAAAAGTGGAGGACTTAAAGAGTAATCATAGAAAAATCGAAGATCCCCCCCCAAAAAATTCGAGAAAGTAGAAAAAGATGTGAAATCGAAATGAGCAGCCAGTTCATGAAAGTCCTTTTCGGTAAAGCGCAAGGTGACACTGTGTAACATAATATCAAATTCGGTGCTTTCCAACTATGCGCAGCTAAAATGCTGTGTTCAACAGTGCAGACGTTCAGACCCTAATGACAACTCATGTAAACTGACTGCTCCGCACTTTGGCGATGAAATGAAGCTAAATAGTGTATCAACCACAAACTGAGACTGTGTAGACATTTGCCTAGATGTCCGTGGCCTGGAAGTCAAATACTTGGCGTAGCCAGGCAAGGTCAAAGTTTTGATGAATAAGAATTATTTTAAAATGTAAAATAATGAAAATGTATTCATATTGTCGGCGTTTTAAACTGACAAATTATGTGAATGTCTGCGAGAGAGAAAGTATGGGTATTGATGATCTGAGAATCCTTTGCCTGGCCACGCCAAGCATTTGACTTCCAGGCCATGGACATCTAGACAAATGTCTACACAGTCTCAGTTTGTGGTTGATACACTATTTAGCTTCATTTCATCGCCAAAGTGCGGAGCAGTCAGTTTACATGAGTTGTCATTAGGGTCTGAACGTCTGCACTGTTGAACACAGCATTTTAGCTGCGCATAGTTGGAAAGCACCGAATTTGATATTATGTTACACAGTGTCACCTTGCGCTTTACCGAAAAGGACTTTCATGAACTGGCTGCTCATTTCGATTTCACATCTTTTTCTACTTTCTCGAATTTTTTGGGGGGGGATCTTCGATTTTTCTATGATTACTCTTTAAGTCCTCCACTTTTTCATGTACTTGGCGTAATTTTTTTACTTTTTTAATTTTTGTACAATTCGCAGTGCCAGGAAAGATCGGCTGCCGAGCGGTCGGTGAAAAAGGCATAGGATGTTGAACCGCTACCGGTCGGTAAAATGTTAAGATTGTATTTTATATTGCACTCCGAACCAGTCTGGACGTTGCCTATCAGCTACTCAACGCTACTTTGTGGCAAAAACGATGATATACAGACCCTCGTTTTATTTAATATGATTTTGGAACTAACATATTGTAGTCCGCCACCATCGTAAATCTGTTTTACCGACTGGGTATGGCTACAAGCCAATGGCGTCGAAAGTGTCAGTTAAATACGGTAAAATCTCACTTGTAACTGCTCATAACTTCTGACCTAGTCTCGCCTTAAAACTAACATTTCCGGATTTTTCTTGACAAAATCTACAGGATTATGTAAAAGAAACTTAAAAATTTTAGGTCCGCCAAAGTAAAGTGCAGCCTTAATTTATTTTGAAAATACCATATTAGGTCATTGTAAATAGGCAAATCCTAGAAATGTTAATATAAATAACAATAGAAAATTTAAAAAAATATTCTTACTATAGCAAAACTTTGAAAATTGAACAAGTGTTTTTTTTTATTTAAGCTTCTATGAAACTATATGACAAATGAGAATTATATGTCGTTACATAGATTTATACATAATAAAATTTATCTTATATCCGAGAGTAAACACAGAGTACTTGTTCTTATTTGAACATTATGTTTCAAATATTTAGAGCATTTTTTTTTAACGTATAGATTACACCCTTTTATGAATGTACATAAGTGAGAACACGCTTTACTGTTGGGTTTATGAACTAAGAGTCTTGTATTCATTGGAAAAAATTAAACAATTATTAAAAATTCATTGTCATAGAAAGTTTCATCAAAATATTTCATTGATTTTGTCAAAAGCACACAATTCTCTTTATTTCTGTCACTGAAAAAGAATTCGTCTGGAGCAAGTCAAGTGAAAACTACAATTCAATCCGAAGCACCTTAAAAACTTAACCCTTGAGTTAGATTCATACTGTTACACATCTTTGAAAATCATTTTATTTCTTGTTCTTTCATCAGACTATAACTCTGACTTTCTCAAATCGATTGCCAAAAAAATCGTCTATCAGTTTTTTTTTTTTAATTATATTATTTAAAGTCGCATACCTCCTTAGGGTATTAGCGATCACAGCTGTAAGGTATATTTGGATTTAAATGGAGGTTAACATATAATATATCATGTTGAACTTATAGTTTTAATCATTGTCTCATATGAGGTTAATCATTCCCATTTCTTTTAGAAAAGTTTGAATTTTAATGAATTGAAGAAGTCGTGAATTGTTGTTGAATAGTCCTTGGTTATTTTTCTATTTGTCCAGACAATCAACGCTCTTCCATATACGATACATTTTTCATATTTACCAAACAGGGAAATCGTAATTCGCATTTTACTGGCGAACCCATGAAGACATGAAGTGACATGAAGGCAGTCAATGTGGGTCTGATAAACTTATACTTGTAGCTTGTAGCAAACGTCAAGTCGCAGCTCGCAGCGCAAGTGGCACTTTGATTCAAAGGAAAGAGGTTAAGGGGGCTGCTCGGAAGAAATGGCAGCAATAAAGGGCCTAGGTAGAAATATCCCCTATCTGAGACAACAATTCGCTGCCCTCTTAGGAAACACCAGTACCAGTGTGAAATTCATATGCGTCGTAGTCCTGTTTTCCTATTGCCTTTCCTTTTCCTCGGAAGCGGTACGTCTTCTGAGCGTGACACCAGGTCACTTACTGCCTCCAGCTTTTTGGATATGGACAGCGTTTACCTTCTGTTTCCTCGAGATACACTTCTGGGAAGTATGCGTGGACATTGTCACAGTAGGGCTTTGCGGTAAATTGATCGAACCTCTGTGGGGTGCGATGGAAATGATGACTTTTTTCGCAATCGTTAATTTTGGCGTCGCAGTCCTGTCAGCCCTATTCTACTTATTTCTATACATGTGTACCAATGATCCAGATTTACTGTTCGACATACACATCCATGGATTGACTGGATATATTGCTGGTATAGTTCTAATGCGTGATCATTTTTGTTGTCAGCTACCTATCGATACCGCATGCATGTTATCGATATTTTAAATAATTAGATAAAAGTGAAAAATAGCATATAAAATTGGTTAGCGTAATGACAATATTGTTTACGTTTTCTTGTAGGTGTTGCGGTAGCTGTGAAACAAATAATGCCAGATCATATTTTAGTTAAAACACCGATAGGAAAGTTTACGAACAGAAATATACCATTAATGGTTTGGATTTTGGGAGTGTTATTATGGCTTTTTGGATTATTGGAAGGTACTAATCCTACTATGTTTCTCAGTGGTTTATTGATATCGTGGATATACCTTAGATTTTATCAGAAACATAACAATGGTACGCGTGGTGACATGGCAGACAATTTTACATTTGCAAGGTACATTGTAAATTAATTATTTTCTGATAGGTTCAAGTTTATATTTATTCTTGTAATGATAATTTTGATTGTAGTTTTTTTCCAAATGTGTTGCAACCACCAATAGCAGTTGTGAGTAATACGATACATGGTTTCTTTGTACGTATTGGAATTTGTAGAAAGGTAGTTAGAAGATTCGATATGTCCAATGCACCTCCTGGTCTGACTATTAACCTTCCTGGTATTGATCCACATGACAGTGAAAGAAGAAGGTTTGTTGTGTTTTTAAATAACATTTTGTTAAACAGTTATATACAATATCAGACAAATGACTATGTTATGATATTTCGAATTGTTGTTTGTCTGCTGTTAAATCACTAAAATGATTTATTGATAATGTAATAATAAATAATCTTAGAAAATTTAATAAGTTTTAGTAAAAATATAGATTTCTGAATAAGAAACGAAAATGTGAGCATTGTAAACATTGTATTTAAAATGGTCCAGTACTGTATGTAGTATAGTAAAATCAAAAATGCTAACAATTTAATCATTTTAAAATTAAATTTTAACATAATAGCATTTGTATATTACACATAATTTTAATCATTTTCAGGCAATTAGCGTTAAAAGCTTTAACTGAAAGGTTAAGTAAGGATCATGCAAAGCCATGGCAACAAGATCGAACTAAGAAACATTCTCCAATTCCTCCTGCAGTTTCGATTCCAATACCTGAATCTACTACACCTAAACCTCTTGCATCACCTCTTATCCCACAAGTTAGTGTAAACATACATAATCACGCTTCTACTAATACGTGATTACATCAAACAGACTGATTTCAATAAGTATATGTATAAATGTGTTAGGAAACTTCTAAAGAAATTGTTTTTTGAAATATATTGATAATATGGCCGTTTCTAGTAAGATCTTTCTGGATAAGGAAAAAAACGTAAGAAAGTATTAATAGCAAATGTTTTCAACATTGCACAGTTATCGAAAAAGCACTCAGCTATTAATTATACCTGGATAAATCCAAAGAACAAAATATAATACTCAAGCGGTGCCTTGGTATTCATAGCTTTTAATCAGTTCTTATATCCATCCTTAAAAATCAGTCCTTAAAAACGTAAATATTGAGTTGGTTTGTTCTTTGGTATTATCAAAAAGTATTAAGTAATTTGGTGAAATACATTGAATATAACTACGCGTATATATTTTAAAAACATTTCGTAAAATTTTAATTATAAATTACATGAAGAAAACAAACAAATTTTGTTTCAATTTACAACTACGGGGTAATTATAAAACGTAGGATATACGTATAATTTGTGATATTTTTATTATGTACTGTTATGGTTTAAATGATTTTCAAAATCTGTCTATTTATTGTAGAGCCATATTAACAATAATACAATATACAGTCTTTAGAGGATTCTTAAGCAAAACAAATGTGACGAAATCAATTTTTCTAACTTGTGATTCTATTTTCCAACAAAATCGTTGTCTTGAAACTAAGATCTATGAACACTATTTATGTAACTGAGTAACATCGATAAGTGATAAATAATGTAAATGCTTCTAATAAGAACATAGATGTCGATGCTGCATAATTGTAGTATTATTTTATCTTCGATATTGTTCAGTGATAACTGGAAGATACACGTGCATTACTATTAGTAGTGAATAAAAAAAAACAGTCCAGCTTCCAGTAGAATGTTACAAAATAATTTAATTAGAGACAGATTGAATTTTGAAAAAAACGTTACTACTTCTTTAATGCTATTTTACAAATTATTTTATACCATTGGGATTGCAATTCTATATTTTGTACAGCGTAAAACGTTAATATATAATACATACATACATTGAAATCAGATGATTATAGAACACAAATATTTGCAGCTTGTTTCAAAGTTATGATTTCTTTCTGTCAAAAATATTTTTAAAAATATATTTTATTTTTTTTATAACAAGAAATCATTTTTATCAGATATAAGTCACCGTTCTCATTCTTTTTTTATTTACATCACTATTTTTTTAATGCTATTAATTATTTTTCAAAATTAGACAACATTTATTTGACACAAATAATTAACTGCGATTAATTTTTTCCAGTTTGCTTTTAGGATCCTATTTATATTTGTATCTAAGTATATGCTACAGATAATTTCAAATCCATTCCTCAAAACTTTGACTTAAATTTTCTTTAAATCATTAAGTATATTCAATGTTTCGTTCAATTTTTGTTTGACATACCACACGAATGATGGATATAGATCCAGTTGCTTTTTAATTACAAGTATTTAAACAGTGTGACATCATATCATAATTATTTTTCTACTTCGTACAATGTAACAATCAACAGCTGTGCCACAAATACATGTTACAACTTTTTTTTTGCCATGTGTACCACATTCTCAAACAATTGTTAAACATTGATCACTATAGTTTAAACATATTATTTAAAAAAAAGTATATATATAGAAAGGTGAATGGAAAGTAGTTCATATAAATGTATAGCAATGTGGATATTTCATATATAAATTGTAAATACAATGAGGCATGATGTAAAATGCGAAGGGAACAAGACTCTATAAAGATGCAGTGATTGTAGACATATTGACATGTGTGTGATAATGGAGTAAGATTAAAAACTATTTTTATGTATGACATAGATATGTCGTTTGAGAATGTATGTTATCCACATTTTGGCCTTCCACTTAAATAAAATTTATATAAAAAATTTTTAAGTACTTTTATTATAAGATTTTTAGTCAATTAATATTTATTATTATAAATATGACTAGAGCTGAAAAGCGAAAGGCCAGAATTAAGTGTGCGGATAAATGAATATTTGTTGATTTCACTAAATATATTTTAAGTACCCAATGTAATAATTACACATTATATATATGTACATGTTATATATAATGAGTTTTGTACATACGTTAAAATCGTTAAATCCTGTACAATATTAAATTCTACCGAAAAATTTGTATTCCCTATTTTCCTATATCGTATATGGAACGAGATAACGAATATTAACTGCTTTGCAATATATGTAATAATAGAAATATTAATTTGGGCTATTAATATTATATTGAAAATTTAATTTATATAATTATAATTTTTAGTAATCTGTTAATTGTACATAAATAATAAGTATAAAACATTTTGATATTAATTAAAAAAAGAAATATTTAATATTTTCTAACAAACCCTTTCTAAGAAACCACACACCTGAGAGTAGGAAATAAATACATGTCTTCATAGAATTAAAACAACTTTATTGCTGTAGTATTGTATAAGTTTAGCGATTTAATGCTGCATATATAGTCCTTGAAAAGTATAAAATATTTTATAATTATTTTTTCCTAATAGTGAGCAGCTCATTTATAGAAATGGTACCTATAACCATTTTTGCTTGCTGCATATCGTCCACAACAGTTTGATCACAATGTATACAAGTTCGTCAGAGTAGAGGTATTTCACTTATCTATAAAATTGTTGTTGGTGCTGTGACCATTGACTCTGAGGTGGTGGAGCTTGTTGTTGAGGTGGTGGACCATATGATGGATCTTGTATGTATCCCGATGGAGATGGCCTTATCGAAGTTGGCGTTGAAGATACATACTGTTGCTGTTGTGGTGTTGGCGGTGGCACATAAGATACTTGAGCAGGGTGCTGAGGCTGCTGATAGTACTGTTGTGTCTGTGAAACTGGAGGTGGTACATTATATCCTCCATAATTAACTTGTGGAGGTGGAGGAGGATAATAATGATGACTTTGTTGCGTATGCATATCGTGCGTTGTTATGGCTGTATCTTGTATGGGTACGGTTATCAGATTTGTTCTTAACGGAGCGTTACTTGGTGGCGGAGGTCCAGAACTTTGGGAATAATTCTGCATTGATATCAATGCCTGTGGTCTATGCTGTGGCCTGTGTTCTACCGATGCCTGATTTACCATTGAATTCACTCTAGGATCATTTCCCATTATTGGCTGTACCATGTGTGATTGCACGGATTTTATGCGAGTATTTTGTATAGCAACCGACGAAACTTTTGTTAACTCTATATCTGACTTAGAATGCACATATTGAGGAGGATCAACTTGCATTCCCTGAACCTGTTGCGGTGGGGCTGATATATGTCGATGATTTATATGAGCCTGTGTACAAATTATACGATATTTATTCATGTAGTAAATATAATTATTCAAAACCAAGAGGGACTAATTGAAATTACCTGTAAATCTCTTTGACTAAGATATGTTCGTCTGCATCCAGCATTTCCATACCTAGTTCCTCCATGTGTACACATGAACACAGTACCTAAACCAGTTTGCTCTACTCTTGAGACTTTCTCCATACAACGAGGACAAACTTTGTCTTCTCTCTTGGCACAAGATAAGCAAAATACATGTTTGCAAGGTATCTGAAATAACAAAGTTTTGAATAAGTTGTAAATATTAAGCAAAGAAGCATAAACATTACGCTCAAACCAAATTATTATGTTCTATAAACTTAATATAGATGTATTATGCTCACTTTTCAAAATTGTGATAACTAAAAAATATTCTTCTCATATATTTGTTATAAAAATGTTGCTCACCATACGCCCATAAATAAGAATTGGTTTCAAACACTTATCGCAACAATGTATCATGGGGTTTAACACTTTCTCTCCAATGAGATTAACTCTGTGGTCCCATCTTAGACGGAGCATCGGTTCAGGAGGTCCTCTATTAATAGTTGTAAATGTTGGAGCTTCCAACTGTGATATATCAGCCTCCAAATCAAATTGCTGCTCCAAAGGTGGCTGTTGCGTTGGTGGAACTTCATGTTCTTCCAATTCAACTCCAACTGCTTCTGTCGGAGTTTCCTCCGTTTGCTGAGGAGTCTCTTCTTCGTCACTTTCAATAACCTATTTCAAACATATGTGCATTTCATCTCTTCTTAACAAATTAAAACTTATCCAAATAACCAATAAGTTAATCAATAAATGCTTAGTAAAGACTACTAATCATAATCCACAGATCCAGTTAAAAACTGAAATTTTCAAATGATAAACAAATTTACCTTTACTTGTTTCTTAGATCTACCTCTAGCACGACCTCGTGCTCTGCCACGTGCTCTACCACGAGTTCTACCTCTCATTCTTTTACCACCATCTTCCTCCATTGCTAGAATTAATTTTCTTTATTTATGAAACAAAATCTAATGCTTGACATCTGTTAAAAGTGAAATTCAATTTTTTGTTGTTTAAGCATAACATCGACAAAACAGGAAGGAAATATAAAAGTTTATTATGAATGTCCAAGGAAATGATATACAGTGAGTAACTTTAATAATCGGACACTATGAGATTTTTACATTATCATATTATAACTTCGTTTCTAAAAAAACAAGCAAAAAACATAATCAAGTATTATATTAACGTATATGTTTAGTAAACAATAGTATAAGTTTTATTTACATAACTTACTGTAATTGTTAAATAACACGATTTAAATAAAACATTGTCTGATTTTCGTTACTTTAATATTCGGATACTTTTAGAAACTATTTATTTTGAGGCCAATTTTTATAATAATATATTTTAATATCTTGTTGGGTAGCCATTCTGTTGTATTACTTCTGTTAAACGTTGTGGCATATTGCTAATGATTTTTTTTAAATATTCAATAGTTATTTTGTCCAATTCTTCTTTTAACTGATGTTTCAACATTTCTTTTCAAGATATTGTTGTTGTTCTGATACCGTCGCTCTAGTTCATTCCACACATTTTTGATAGGATTGAAGTCATGTGATTGAGGTGGTGGTTGTAAAACTTTTGAACAATTGTACAGTAAATATTCTTGCATGATGCATGCCTTATGTTTCGGGTCATTACCCTGGTAAAACTTAAATGTGTTTAAAATTCTCATTTGTGTAGCACTTTTGTATAAATTATTTTTTAATATGTTCAAATACACATTTTTATCCATAATATTGTTAATAAAAACTAATTCGCCCAGCCCAAATGTGGATATACAACCCCAGACAAGCACACTGCCTCCTCCATGCTTTACAATCGGCCTTAGATTTTTAAATTTAAATTCTTCATTTTTCTTACTCCACACCATCCTTTGTCCATCTGATCCAAAAATGTTAAATTTACTTTCGTCTGTAAAAATGACATCGTTCCACCATGTTTCTTCCTTGAAAACAAATTCTTTAGCAAAATTTAATTTCTTCTTTCGATTTTGTTCATTCACATACAGTTTCTTCTTAGCTACTCTTCCATTCTAACCACTATCTTTTAAGGCTCTGCGGATTGTTTGGGGATGTACCTTCTTCCCAGTCTCGTTTAAGAGCTCTGTTGCTAATTTTGGTGCACTGAGTGAAGGATCCTTCTTTATTTTTCTTATTAGTTTCCTCTTATCACTTGCATCCAACTTCTTCAGTTGGCTGTACTCTTACTCATGTTGAGTATGGCAGCAATTTGTCTACATAATTTCCCCTTTGCATTGTGAAAAATCAGAAGTTTTATATTATACGTGGTATTGCTTTTGCATGGCATTATACACGTGCATGTAACGGTTATCGAAGAATAACTGATGAAATAAAGTTTGTTAGTATCATCCGAACAATTGACTGTGTTTGTAAACAAACACTTGTTCTAACTCGAAGTAACTCTGTATAAACACTCAGAAAAGGTGCTACACTACCAAGTATCCGAATATTAAAGTAACACAAAAATCAGACAATGTTTTGTTTAAATCGTATTATTTAACAACCATTGTAAGTTATGTAAGTAAAACTTTTACTATTATTTACTACACATATACCTTAATATAATACTTGATTATGTTTTTTATTTGTTTTATTAGAAACGAAGTTATGATGTAACAAAGTAAAAATCTCATAGTGTCCGAATATTAAAGTTACTCACTGTCTGTAATATATTAATGTCCAAAGAAATTAAATATATAATAAAGAAAATATTAACAAAAGACATCATTAGTGGTAAGGATATCGTGTAATAGGATAAATACAATTGAACTATTACTAAACATATTACGTTTACGTATCGAGTAAACGAAGTAAATTCTAGTTTCAAAATTTCACGCTCAACGTCATGCTTAGATTCATTACTTACTTAACGATATAGGTTATACATCGAATTCTGTGACGTATAATTTAAGAGCCAAGATCGTATTTGTAATGAAAACAAAAATAAAAAAAAACGATGTACGAGGGACACTTTACTTACACTTGAACAACAATTAGAGGAAAAACTTTTTCACTATTGTAGAGTCCAATGTTTCTCACTAAACTTCATTTCATATAAGATGAATGAAGAAATAATCTGTTGCTACAACCTTCATTGTAGTAATCCATATGACGTAGAGTACTGTCGTATAGTGTTGTTACCTTGGAAACGATTCTATGCCATGCGAATCGCAGGTATGTTATGTATAATAGTATGCCTTGTCACCTCTGAATTCCTTGTGCTGTTTAATAATAAGCAGGGCCGGTGTTACGAGGGGGGGGGGGGGGGGGGGCAAATTTTTTGGGGGAAAACAGCCCGGGGTCCCAAGTATACGAATATACCGATATACAGGGTATCCCAAAAATGTTGTAACAGCTTGATAAGGAACTTTTTCCTTAGCGAAAATGTTGTCCGAAGCTTCGTTGAGGAGATATTAACAGAAAACACTGACCAATCAGAGCGCGACTATACCGTTGGAGCAGCCGCGGTAGCGTATGAGTGCGGCCGCCTATTGCGTAGCGTACGGTCCACTGGCATACTCGCGCTCTGATTGGTCAGTGTTTTCCGTTAATATCTCTTCAACAAAACCTCGGACAACATTTTCGCTAAGGAAAAAGTTGTTTCAAATCACCTCCCGAACCACCCCTTTCAAGATGTTACAACATTTTTGGGGCACCCTGTATATACCCCTGAAGGGGCGCCACGATAATCTTGCCCAGGGCGCCAATATTGCTAAAACCAGCCCTGATAATAAGTGATTCTAAATTGTTAACATGAACGCTAACGTTAAGAAGTATCATACGAAAACGTTGCGCTGGTTTATGTTACAGAGAACAACATAGAGAAACGAGAATGGAAAAGATAATAGTAAATCTTTTATGTACAGTTGATACATAATCGCAGATAACTTCAAGGTGATTCAACGGAGGGAGTAACTCCGAAATCGAAGGGGATTCATTTACTTATTTTTATATACAGTATTTAAGTGCCTTGTTCTGATTATAACGAAATTTTTAAAAAATGTCTTGGTGCACGGGAGATGACGATGAGGAACGACCTGATCCGACACGTGTGCGAGGATGCACAGATATTTTCTGGCTTTGCTGTTTCATTGCATTTTGGTTTCTTATGGTATTTATGCATCAACTTTATATTATTAACTAACAAAAGAATATATTTCTTTCAAATTTCTACATTGAGAAATCTATAAATCTATTTGTTTCTGTATAATATTTATTCTAAACTCTACTGCTAAATTTCATGTTGTATGTGTAAAATAGTAAACATAAGTTAAGTACAGTTGATAACACAAATATACTAACTTCTAAAAGATTATGTTGTACCAAAATGATTACATTCTTAACTGCAAGATGTATCTTGCATATTAGAACATTTAAGACTTTGAGTATCCCAAGGCAGATATTATAAGCAAATAGCGATCTGTTAGAGAAGTAGATTCAGATAATTCATTTTGTTTTTTTTCTTAAAACAAATGGATATGTTCAACGTATAAATATTTGGACTAATTATTTTGTTTTCTCTACAGATTTTAATAGCAGCTTTTGCTCTTGTTTATGGTAATCCTTTAAGGCTTATAAATGGGTATGATAGCTTTGGCAATACTTGTGGCATGAAAAATAATCCTAAATTTGGCAGTATGGAACTTTCTGGTCAAGACACTAGTGACAAACCGTTAGTGTCAATTTTCTTGTCATTTCCGTTATTTATTTATTTCTAAAAGTTTAATAAAAAATGTTCATTAATTTTATTATTTTAGATATTTATTCTTCCTAGACATAAACAATGTTACACAATCTTTAAAAATTTGTGTAAAAAAATGTCCAGATAGAACTATGACAACAATGAATGACATATGTAGATTCTACGAAGAGACAGGATCACAACTTTGTCACGATAAACCAAGAAATGACTTTAGTGCTTGCAGTAATGGAAACAGAAAAAACAAAACAGGCTCTTGTCCTGAATTACCAGTGTACAATAGCATATCAGTTCTTAACCGTTGTGTTCCAAAAGCTATTAAGGATGTAGGGGAAACTATAATTGCAAATTTATATGGTTTGATTAACTCATGGGATATTATTGAACAGATTTTAGGAGATTTATACAAAACTTGGAGAGAAATTCTGGCTTTATCATTTTTAGCTTTTGGTATGATTTAATACCTTACTATTTAAATATTTTATTCTACAAGCAAATTAGATGAAAATTTTATATATACTCCTTTTTTCAGTTTTATCTCTCTTTATGATTGCTATATTTCATTTATTGGCAAGTATCGTAACATGGATTGTAATGATTCTTGTTAGTATTGCAACTGTAGGTAAGTTATTTAAACAATGTATACAGGTAGTAGATGAAGAACGTATTAATTTAATATACAGTTCATGCATTCTATGACAATTTTTACTACAAGTTATCTTACTTATTCAGGCAAATTTGAAAGAAGAAATCATAGTGACTGTTCCATAATTTTGCAAGACAGAAAAACCTTTTCAAATATAAATATTCTGATAAAAACTTTCAATATTTATATTACGTTAACATGTTATCGATGTATAAAGTAAAAATATTTTTTCCTACATATATACTTTTATTGTAAATATTGTATATTATACAAAATTTTTAAATCATATTCAAGCAGCAAATAATTTGTATATTGAATTTTATAGCTGGTACAGTCTTATTATGGTGGACATATATAGACATTAAAAGAACTTTAGACACAACCAATCCAAACCAACTTCTCGAAGAATCGGTTAGAAATGAAAGAGCATTCTTAGCTTTTTCTATTGTTGCAACAATAATAACTGTACGTAATTATTAATATATGAAAGAAAGTGTAATTGCTCACTATTATTTTTATTACTTACTCGAACTATTTAAGAACTATTTGTAAATTTTAGGTCATTTTATTACTCCTTTTAAGTATACTACGTAAACGTATTGGATTTATGACAGCATTATTTAAAGAAAGTGCAAAATGTTTAGCAGAATTACCAGGTTTATTTTTTCAACCTTTACTCACATTTGTTGCTCTAATATTATTTTTTGCCTTTTGGGTGACTGTAATTCTTTGCCTTGGAACAGCTAGTAAGTGTTTCCATTTTGTGTATACAGAAGAAAAGTACTTAAAATACATGATATATAAATAATATTTACAGACTATCCAGGAACAAAATCTGTACAAATGTATAAGAACCACATATTTGACTCTTTAAATTTGAACTTACTTGGAGAGAAAAGTGCATTTGTTGAAGAGAAGAAATTTGACTTTTCACTGGATTCCTTTAAAAGTAATACTTAACACTTTTATTTTTCATTTAATTAGCATTACTATTTCTAAGGTGTTTCAGCTTTTACCCTTGTGGAGTATGTCGATTCAACTTGGGTGAAATACATGTGGTGGGTATATATTATAGGATTAATATGGACTTCCGAATTCATTATTTCTTGTCAAGATATGGTAATATCTGGAGCAGTCGCTCATTGGTATTTTAGGTAATAATATAAAAATAATTTGTGTAACATGTAAATTTTAGTAGTGGTGTGATATATGACATTTATTATTTTAGAGGAAAAGATGCTAGCGCCTCTCCAGTATGCTCTGCTATGGGAAATTTAGTTAGTTACCACTTAGGTTCTGTAGCTTGTGGTTCGTTTTTAATAACTCTTTTTAAGTTGCCACGTTTAATTTTGACGTATCTACATGCTAAGTATGTTTATTACTAATGAACACATGTATCGAGTAGTTAAATTTTCTGTAATATACTTTATAATTTGTATTTTTTTATAGATTTGACAGAAATAAGGAAATTTCTCCATGTGCTCAATGCGGCCTAAAATGTTGCATATGCTGCTTCTATTGTTTAGAAAAATTTATTCGATATATGAACCATAACGCATACACTGTAGTTGCCATTGAGGGAACACATTTTTGTAATGCAGCCAGAATAGTATGTTATACTTTAGAGTGAGAATTTCATTGAATCTCATTCTATCATTCATCATGAATATTTGAAGTTTTAACATAACATGAGGTGAAGGAGTAAATATTGTACCCATTATACTTTCAGGCATTTACAACACTTGTTAGTAATGCTTTACAAATAGCAGTTATTAATGGTGTGGGAGACTTTATTCTGTTCTTGGGAAAATGTTTTGTGACAGCTGCTACTGGAAGTATTGGATTACTATTTATGAAACAGGATCCCAGATTACACTTTTATGCAGCTCCAATTTTTGTTATTTGTGTTTTTGCATTCTTTATTGCACACAGCATTATTTCTCTTTACGAGGTAGATTACATAAATCCTTTGCCTAGCGACTTGGTATGTATATTGTGCATCTATAATTCAATATTTTATTGCAGACTGTGATAGATACTCTGTTTCTCTGCATCTGTGAGGACAAGAATTTAAATGGTGAAAATGGAAAGTGGCGCCAATCAGCACTAGCACAAATTGGATCTAATACTAATACAAATGGACAGCAGTCGCACGAATTAACACCAATGAACACATAGGTATAATATTAAGTCACTACACAATTTCTCTTCCGATCCTTTTACACTTTTTATACACATTTTTTAACATGTTTTATCATAACATTTAAAGATTTTTTTAAATTTGAAAATTATGACTATTTTAATCACTTTTATGCAATTTTAAATTGAACATAGCCACACTCAAAAATATATGTGTGTGTGTGTTGTTACTTTACAATGACTACGAATACTTTACACTAAAATTGCATCATTGTGTACTTATAACTTTACTTCTATCGTATAAACGAATTTTTCTCGTTCGTCTAAAAATTACTGCCAAGTATTAAAACTTTCAATTTGTAACAGAAGTTATAACGATAGCAAGGACCCAATAATCTTTCAAGTTGATGTCCCACCATCAAATAAACAAACAGTAACAAGTCCAATTATACATACATTTTATAAATAATTAACTTCAATTTCTGAAGTACATACAAAAGTAATAGCAACATAGTAACACTGTTTTATTATATTTTCATGCATTTATGTGATTTAATATACTTTTTAAAATTTTTCTAACCTACAAAAAGATATAAGTAATAGAATAAGTTGTGTAGAATTATTTTGATCTATACTTAATTATATATCGCACAATATTTGAAAATTTTATATTCACATACTATAGTTTTGTTACATCAATTTGTAATTTAACTATTTCTTAAAAAGGTA